TTTTTTTTTTTTTTTTTGAGTGGATTTTTTGGTGTTCTATTGTATTCAGAAATTTTAATGGGTAATCAACTTGTTCATGCCGTCTCTTTTTTTTTCGTCTTCAAGTTAGTTTATCGGTTTTCATTATTATTGGTCAACCAATTTTATAGGAAAACGAGCCGGCTAAATGTCAGAGTTAAATTATGAGTTGGCTTTGTGAATTAATTGAACAAAACAGTCCTGAACCACGACAAAGACTTGAACTTAGTCAACAGTTTCTTGATCAGCTTCAAGTTTATCATTTGCCGTCTGATTCCACATTACTGAATGACTTTTGTGATTTAGCACTACAGTGGCTCTCTGGTTCAAATTACAAGGTAATTTTTGAGATGTTCACTAATATTTTTTGTTTGGACATCAATCAATTCCTGGTGCTTTTGTTGTTCACTATAAAAATAGCAATTTTTTTGCTTAGGTAGCGCTTAATGCCCTCGAAATCCTTGACTTGGCAATCCGAGTTTCTGGCGATGTACTTGCACCATATTTGATCGAAAGGACTCCTGCCTTAGTAGAGCGATTGGGAGATGCAAAACAGAGCGTTCGAGATTCTGCAGTACAGCTCTTGACAAATTTCGCAAATGCACCGCATTCCAATGTTCAAGTGAACTTTAAAACATCTTCAGTTATGGCCATTACGTTTCAAAAAAATTTGTCACACCACGAGAGTAAAACTGCAGTGTTTTTTTGTAACGCGTTAGCGAATCAAAAGTAAAACCATTTTCTTTCTAAATTGTTGAACGTTTTGTAAAACTTTAGTCTCGTAATGTCATTTATCTAAATCTCCCTTTCTTGTGACAGTAAAAGTTATTACAGTGATTGTTTTAATATAGTTTATTTTACCCATCAAATTATTTAAAAGAACTGATCAGGAAAACTTTTTTCCTATTCCCTTTTTTTATTAAACGTTTTAGATTGTGTTTGAAAAAGTGGCGTTGGGTTTGACTCATCGACAATGGTTGGTCAAAATTGGTGCTATGCAAGTGCTCAAAAGTATTCTGGAGGAGAAGTTTGTCCTTTTATTCTTGTTCTGTCTATCCTTTTTTAAAGCTTTTTTTTGACTACTTCAGAAACACAGAAGCCGAAATACTGCTTTTTGATGACCCGGTCCTTATTATAAAAAATTTTTATTTTTATTCTCGTTAACCATCTATAACTGAGTTGTCGTAATATGCATTAAATTATAATAGCGGTTACCATCTTGTTAGGTTAGACAACTGAACAACAGGAAACAGCAACATAAATCAAAAATTTTGTGGTTAATATGTCTTCAGATTTCTTTGCCGCTCAATCGCCTCTAAAATATTTTACAAACTGAAGTTAAAACTAACGCTACAAAAGACTATTTCAAATGAACCGATTCTGAACAAAGAACGATTAGTTGCAATTTTTCTTCTGATAATGAGACTCAGATTTGTATTTATTTACTCGGATAAAATGTTGAGACTTATTAATTTAAGAACTTTTACTGCTGTCTAGATCTCAAATTCCACTAACCAATATATGTAAGGTACAAACACCAAACGTACAACAATTCATTCTGGTCCTATAAATCCAAATTTTTTGGCATAATTTAGCTAAAGGCAAAGAGGCTCCGCGGATTTATTAAATAATTTCTGAATTGCTTAAAAAGAACTCTAGACCTCCTAGACAACGAGTATTATTTATCAGAGCAACAACCAGTTACAGGAAGTATATAGTTATTTTACAGTCTTAAAAATAATTTACTGTTTTTTGGTGTAATGCCCTTAAACGAATTCACTAAGCAGAGTACGTATTTTTAAGAAATGTTAAAGAAGTTAAATTATTGGTAAATTAGGTTAAGGCTTTTGTGAAACTTATCAGAAAGAGGGCCATTAAAAGAATAAAACGGAACTATTCCTTCTGTTGTAGAAAAGTTTTTTTAGCAAAATTTTCGTAGAGGTCCAAGTAAATAGGATAACTCCAACCTTATGCAAATTAATGAGCGACCCAAATGGCGAAGTTCGTGAAGCAGCAACAAATACGTTGGTTTATATTTTCTGTCAGTATGGTGAGCACATGACTCTCAGTATCAGACAGCGACAGCTAATACCAGAGCAGAAGTAAGTCTTGCATAATATCAAGTTAAACTTAAATTGAAAGTTTTTTGAATGATTATAATTTTATACCAAAAACTCTCCTGTTGGAAAGTATTTTGATATTCAGAATTCATATTCTTATAGTTTTATAAAGCTTAACTTAGATATCACTTGTTGATGACACGCTTTAAAGAAGCTCAGGATGGTTCTGGACCAATTGCTACAACACCCTCAACTTCACAGCGTATTTCTAGACCACTGCGGAGGCCGTTAATACCTCAGAAGCCTGGAACACCAAACAGCGGTATCATTCTTCACTATTTGAAAAACAGATTTTTTAGCTTCTTATGATAATTAAGTACCAACAAAAAATACTAAAGAATGTTAGCATTTTTTTTTAAGTGGTAGATACTAATGAGCTGCACAACTAAATCGCCTGAGCAGATTGAAACCTACGTCCAAATTCGATTTCACTTGTGATTTGATCTTTGGTTATTTGTGTAGTTGTGTAGTAATCTGAACACTAAGTAGAGATATTGCTTAACAACCACAGCAACTTTTAACTGGAAAACTGACACATTCTAATATCTCCATTTTTAAGTAAAAGAGGTAGTTAAGTTGTGGCACAGACAGGTTACCAATATACAAAAATTTGACGTTTTTGAGTTTCGCCTATTACGTTTTTACAACCGCAATGCGTTTAGCAGCTTGTTAGGGGGAAAAAACTTAAGAAATGGAAAATTTGTTAGCTTATTCTGAGTACTTTACCTGACTAGTATGTTCTTTTGCGGATGGCTCAATAAGCACCTAAGGACTGTTAGAGCATAAAAGAAGTAGTTTGAAATAAGCCGTGTAGTTACGTTATTGGTGTTTTCAACTATAAAGTAAAATGGCAAAGAAGAAGTCTACCTTGTCGGAGAATTTTTTGTAGAAATTAGAAATAACAATGGACATTTAAATTTTAAAATTTCTTCTTCACAATGACACACGTGTCGTCGCGTGTGTGAGACGGCTTTGTTAATAGGGACCACAAATTGTAAAAGTATTTTTCATGTCGTCATATGAGTAAAGCCTTTGAAAGATACTGCGCCTTTTGCTTTAGAAAGCAGATAAAAGAGTAAAGCTGCTTGAATCATTTGATCACTTGCAGTTTGTTTGAGAAAGATAAAATAATCAGGTGCGAATTACAAAAGATTTCCTATGCAAAACTGTAGTTCTTGTACTACATTCGTCACATCCGTTTGGGTTTGGCGACAAATAACTATTCCGACTGTTACCTATATGAATATGCAAGACTAATAAATCCAGGTTTTCTTATCCTAGAGCTACTGTGGTTAGTTACGTTTCAGCATCTTTGAATGTACAACAGTTACGGCATTGAATCAGTCGTCTTTTGCTGTAATAAGATGAGTAGTGCAGTTATAAAGACTTTATCGAGTATTACCGAAAAACTTAGGTTTCATACTGTTATAGCTATTTCAATAAATCATTAAACCATTACGCATTTATAATTACTTTACCAGTCTTCAGAGTATCCTACAACTAAAAAATGGCTTGCTGAGTTCATAACTAAGAAGTTCTGGGACTCTTTTCACGTAATTAACCAGAAAACAATTTGCAACTGTGATCAGTTATCGTATTCACTTTATGAGGTTTATGTTATATATGAAAGCACTGTTGAGCAATGATCAAACGTTAAGGTGATATATGTTAAATTAGATTTATCCACGCGAAAGCTATCATAGGAACAGAGTAAAAAAATTAGTTACTAGAGAACGGTACACACCAAACGCATTAACGCTACAGAATTAACTCAGATCTAATCGTGGTGTTCTGGCAAAGAGCTTAATATACAAAAGGTGAAATGTGGCCACCAATTACCTATTTTTTTTTTTGCTCAATGAGAAATAAAATTGCCAATGATTAATCTCATCAAGAAATTATTAATCTGCTCTCGAAATAACCTAATTTGTTTCCAGATCCATATATGCTCCTGTAAGATTTGTATATTAGAAATGTTTTCTTTAAAATTTAATTCACGATGTTCATAGCAAATGAACATGCCCGTCTAAACTACTAAGCTGCACAAATTTTAGACGGACCAAATAAGTACTTGTTCTTCCTGTCCTGAAGTTTAGTAAGAAAGAACTAGCGTAAACAAATTTAGTCCCATTCTCCTAGAGCCAACAAGTACATATATATATATATATATAT